TTTCTCCAGTGTCGTTGTAACTTCGAAACGGTCACTAAACGAACAGTCGTCCGTCCAGGACTGCCTATGGAGGGTTTTTAGCTTAAAAGGCTTCAATGCCTAGTCGGCCATGGTTTGATTGACACCTGCCAGGTCCCCAGGTGATCTGCTCAGCCTTTATTGCCGCCGCGCACATGGGTGGGGTGTGTGTGTGGAAGGGGTTCGGCTTGAACAAGAGACACCCCCTCCTTCCCCAGGCAAAGGACGTCCTCGACACACACACACACCGTTTCCCAAAGAGGGGGAGGGTCCCCACCGCTTCCCACCAACTTAGTTGGAACACAGTAGAATAACAAGAGTGGGAAGGGACCCTGGAGGTCTTCTAGTCCAACCCCCTGCTTCGGTTGCCCCAGCTTAGCGCCACCACGCAGGTCCACGCATGGGAATTTCACCCAAAACCGGCTCCGCGTGGGGTTGGGATGGTGCAGATTTGGGGGGCGGGGGGGGACACAAGCACATCTAGAAGCCTCAATGCCACCCCCCCTTTTTCCAGCCCTGGTTTCTTCCTCTTTGCGTGGATGCTGGTGGCCAATGGGGGCTTTTTTTGGGAGGGGACCCCAGACCTCCATCCCTGTTTCCTTTGATCTCGTCCCCTTGCGCCGTCTCACTGCAGAAGCAGCCACTCTCAAACAGGGGTTCGGGGGGGGGGGGCTGTCTCGTCCCCTTCGCTCCGCCCGGACTCAGGTGACACCTGGAAGTGTGCAGAAGTGGCTTTCGTGGTGGTGGGGGGGGCTTCTTGGCGGTCCGATCCAGAGCGGCCCCCGAGTTGCCGCGCGCGAGACGCGGTGTGTCTTGCACGCCTGTGTCTTTCAAGCGGCCATCCGAGGGGGTCTTCCCTCTCCCCGTGGAAGGGGAGGAACGCCGAGTGGCCAGCGGCTGCCCCCCCTGGTCACCTGCCACTTCCCTGGCACACGCTGGCGAGGAATAAATTGACCTTCCCCCGCAGGAAGCTGGCATAGACGCTGAAGAGTTTTGGCACAGTGGGCACGCTCAACGTCCGAGGGAGGGGCTCCTCCGCGGGGCCTGCCTGTCGGAGAGGAAGGGAGCAAGGTTGAGACAAGGAAGGACCCAGGCCCCGGAGGCGTTTGGCACTGCAGTCCTTGACTTAACGACCACAACGGTGCCTGGCACTTCCGTCGCTAAGCGAGACCAATTTTACAATGATCTCTGGCCCGTTTTTCTTGCCGAGGGAATCGCCGCTGTTGTGAGTTAGCACAGTTGTGAAGTGAATCCAGATTCGCGGCAGTTACTTCAACTCCCAGCATGCCCCGGCAAAGACAATCCATTGGTTTAGCTGGGGCATGCTGGGAGTTGAAGTCCACGACTCTTAAAGGGGCCGAAGTGGAGAAATAGGGAAGCAAAGTCTCCGTTGACCTGGGAATGCGTTCCCTGCCGGAGCGGCCCCTCTCTCCCTGATGCCCCGGGACACAGTAGCCGAGCGGTTGCCTCTGAGCCTGTGCAGAGGGCCCTCCCACCCCAGCGTGTCCTCACCTGGGCATTGTGCCTGCGCAGAATCTCTCGGATGCTCCTCAACCCGCTCTCCATCACTTCCAGCTGGCGAAGGAAAGGCTGCATCCGCGGCTGCTGGCTTTTCACTTGGCCGACGGCGCTGGAGAGAAGCGCCTGGCCACTCCACACCTCCCAGGCCTGCCTGGACCTCTGGGGCCGAAAGAGAAAGTTGGGGGGGAAGGAAAGAGAAGGCGGTCAGCCGACGGGCCATTTCCTCGCCCGTGGGGTTCCCGCGTGGCATCGTCCCAGATTCAACTTACGTCCATTGCTCGCCAGTCCGGAAAATTCACCCGCGTGTCCGACACCGTCACCTGTTCAGGTAAGTTGCAGGCGTCTTCGCAAAGGTCCACCTGCGGGGAGACGGGACCAGGGGGTTGGACTAGATGGCCTCCGAGGACCCACACCCAGCCCCAGGACTCTAGGGTTTGATTGCTTGCAACTTCTGGAAAGTTTGGAGGCTATTTCAGGGGCATCTCCCGCAACGTCCGTCCGGTAGAAGCCGGCTGGGACGGGTACAAGAGAGTCCCTGCCTGAATCTGCCCTTCCCTGAGTCCCTCCGGGGGTTTAAGTGTTAGGCGGAAATTGCTCCTCTGAGCAGCGGGAGGGTTGGGCTACTCCGAGTCACTCAGAGCAACAAACCCTGGACTTACAACGTCCTTCTCCATCCTGCTGGCGTCCTGGATGAATTTGTTCATGACACTCTGGTCGCAGACGGGCTGGGCAGGGGCCGGGAAGGATGGGTCCAAGGATGCCCACACAACGAGGAGTAGAATCAGCCCTGCGCGGGGAGAAAGGCGGAGAGGCTGCGGTCAAGGAGAGGCCGGGGATAGAAGAAGAACGACGGAAGAAGAGAATANCTGGGATCAATGAGGTTAACTCGTCAGCTAATGTAATGTCTGTAAGCAAACCACCAAACGGAGAGAGAATCAATTCCAGAGACAGAATCCTCTCTGGTTCTTAAGCATCCTAAATCCCACATGAAGAAGAAGAAGAAGGAGGAGGAGGAGGAGAAGGAGAAGGAGAAGGAGAATAGATTTTTTCCATCCTGTCCTTTGTGCCCATTCAAACCAGGTTTGTTTTCGAAGTTGGCAACTTGAAGAGGTGTGGATTTTTCCCCCACACCTGGCTGGGGAATTCTGGGAGCCGAAGTGGCCCCCATCTCAAAGTCGCCAAGTTTACCCATCCTGACAGTGACCGATGAGACGCACAACTGGGAGGACTCTTGACGGCAACAAGTGCTACGCACGGAAAACGCACAACCTGTTGGCTGGGCCTTCAGCGCCCTCCTGGGCCTGTGGCATCTCCAGGGAAAGATCCAGTGGGTCCCCCCAAGGAAGAGGATCGGCCTCTCCCCTTTCTCTTCATCATCCTTGGAAGAATTCACAACCGAAAGTCAAATCCAAATTAATTTTGCCGGGGGGGGAAAAAGAAAAAAGAGGAAAACTTGCCATTTTTGCACCAGCCAGAGAGAGAACGGAAAGGAGGACCACAAAATCGCGGCAACGGTTGTGCAGGTGGGCCAAATCCATTTGGGTGTGCACACGCTCGGACACACACACACACACACACACCTCCATGTGCAAGCGGAGCCATAAACACACACCGCCGGGCAGTCTGGTCACACCAGGCCAAAGCCTCTATTGTTCGGGCACTTCCGCCCCCAAAGATGGAAAAAGCAGACGGCTGCGAGTGTGGAAACAGCACACACACACACACAAACACAAACGCACACAGAGGAGTGTCTCCAAGCCAGACCCTTCGGACGCTGACGAAGGCGGCCTGGCTGGCGCATACGTGCCCCGAGGCCACAGGGCAAGGAGGTGCCCAGCCCCCCCCCCAACTCTCCCCTGAGCCCCATCTCATCTCAGCTGGGTGACCCCCACATCCGGCATGGCACCCCTCCCTTCGTTCCATGGTTATGCCCATTATTTCACAGGTGGGCATTCAGGGGTCGTTCCCCCCCCCCCCCGCCGGGTCAGTTTGACCCTTCCTGCTGGGCTCAGCAGGGGTTGAATTCATCTGGGCCAAGTCGCTAGTCCTCATGAGCGCTTTTCTCGTGGGTTTTCTTTGGAGAAGAGGGCCAAGCAGCATCTCCCCCTAAATACAACCTGCTTGCTTGTCCAGCGCTCAAACCCCTCCTGGAACGTCCCCCTCCCCAGAAAGCCCACCTACCCAGGATAGAGGCTCTGCCCTCTCTACTCCCCTTGCTGGCAGCTTCCTGGGCACTGCCCCCCCCCTCCCCACAGCTACAACTCATCCCATTATCCCCAGCATCCAGGGATACCCCCCCCCTTGGGCTCTTTCGGGGGGGGGGAGGAATCCCTTCCCTTCTATGCGCCCCCCTCCTTCCCCAATCTTGCGCCCGCTGGGCCGGTGCCAAGGCTAGGCGGCCGCCGGGCGCTCATACGTGCCGGCTCGCACTAAGCGCAAGCCTTGATCCGCCGACCCGGCGGCCGGCCCGCATCGATCCTGGCCGCGTCTCCAAACAGGCCGGCTCGCCTGGCGCCAGCGGGAGTGACAGATCAACCAGCCCCGGCCGGACCTCTGACCCTGGCCCGGCTGGATGGAGCGCGCGGTCCCCCCGGGAGCCGCCGCTGCCCTGCGCGGCGCTACCTGGCAGGTGCCCGCGCGAGGCTCTCTGCCCACCCAGGACCCTTCAGCTGCCAGCCACCCCCAGTTCCCCCGGGGCAGGGAAGACCCCCGTGGGCAAAGGCGCCGCTCGCCTTCAGCGCATCCGCACGTCAAAGAAAGACCCGTAGGGAAATGAAGGAGAGGTGGAAGGAAGGAGAGGCGGGAAGGAGGGAGAAAAGGAAGGATAAAGGAGGGTAGAGAGGTGTATGGGATGGTTAGCAAAGCAATCTCGACTCGTTTTTTTTTTAAATATGGAAAAAGAATGTTTAAAAGTGTTAAAATAGTGTTAAAATCAAATCAAAGTCAAATCAAAATCAATTTAAATAGAAGAAGACCTATGAGAATGTGTAAATGGACCTAGGAGATGAAAAACAAAAACTTTTTATTAAGAAAAGAGAGAAAGAGATGCCCCCCCCCCGGGGGGGATTCCCTTCCGCCCTCTGGGCGCGAACCCCAGCACGGAAGGCAGAAAGACAGAGAGCTGTGGGCATCTGAATCCATCAACGGTGCCCCAACCCAGCTTATAGTGCCCAAAGGGTATTCTTAACCAGGGCCACCTTTACGCCAGGATGGGGGTTGGGGATGGGGGTGAGAAGGATGGAGAATGCCAGTGCCCCCCCTCCAAGCAGGCAAGAAAGCAGGGGAGGGGGTACATCTGGCAATGTCTACTTCACTCACACCAGCACCCCCCAAAAGTGAAGGTTCTTCATTGTGTTATAACAGGGAGCAGCTTCCTGCATTCGCCCCCCCAACTCAATTGATAAATACACCATTTGCATCTGTATAAGTCTTATATAACTCTAAAACTCTAACTCTATAACTCTATCTATCTATCTATCTATCTATCTATCTATCTATCTATCTATCTANAGAACCTCGGAGGTCTTCTAGCTGACGTTGCCAGGTGGGCACCCAATTTCAGGGGGGGCAGGAGGGGGCTCCCCGGCTGCTCTCCTCCGTCTTTTGGCGTCCCGGGGCCCCTCTGTCTCTGCCCCCCCACATGCTAAGGGCCCCTCCTGGCCTTCTCCCTTGGCCATCTCTCCACCACCATCCATGCCGGACTTAAGGCTCGAGCTGGGGGTCACCCTCAACCCCAGGACTGGGCAGCTGGAGCCCTGAACTTCCTGGCCCCAGCTAGCAAACGGGGCCTTTCTTCCCCCCCCCAATTTTCTCGCCTTGCTGCTGCTGCTGCTGCCTTTCTCACCTCCCCTGCCCCACGCGCCCCCTTCATCCCTCCCCTCTCGGCCTGCAGTGTTGACAGATCCCTTATCAGCCCATTCCTTCAACGCTCAACTAATTTGGTTTCTCTCCAGGGGGGCCAAAGTCCGAGGAGGCGGTCACACTTGGGAATCCGCGCAAGATTTTTCCCACATCCTCAGCTTGGGGCCACCCGGGCAGCTTCCGGGGCTTCCAGAGGGCATGAAGACGAGCCTCGGTTTTCCTACCTGCGGGAAGCCCAGCCAGACACCGGGCGAATCCCCCTGAATTCAGACCCACTTCGACAGGGGGGAGTTGTGCCCGCTTCCTTCTGCTTGCAAAGGGGGAGATTATCCCTGAAACTCCTTGGCAAGGACGGTTATCCCTTCCCTAAGCTGATGACCACAAAGAGGGGTAGAAATAGGGGCCCCTCCAGCCCTGCTGGCGGTCCCCCAACTCCGCAGCTTCACAAACACACACACACGCACCCCCGATTTAAATGCCCGATCTTCGGTCTTCCTCGCTGATGCTTAGCCAGGCGTACCCAACCGGTTAACTCTGCCTGCCCCATCCTTGAAACACTGTGTTCCCATCCCGGGCCCCCTCCAGGCAGGGGATGATGGGCACCCTGCCCTCCCCCCCCCCAAAGACCGTGGACTTTGATGGATGGGAAGGGCGTCCCCGCGGTTTCCCCGACAGCCAACCTTTTTGGCCGGTGCCCAGCGCCATCGATCCCCAAGGCTGGCACGGCGGGGCTGCCCTCCCTCTTGCCAAGCCCTGGAGCAACACCACTTACCAGAGATCCCCATAGCCAACACTTCATGGTCCCAGCGACTACCGGACCCCTCTTGCTCCACGGCTCTCCATCGACGGCTGGGTAAGCCGGGGGGCTCTCTGGCCAGGTGGGCACGGATCGGTCCCCTTCCTCGTCTCCGCTTCGCTCCTCAGTGTGCCGGGGGGGAGTCCGGCAGGGGCCACAGGTGAGTTCCAGAGGGCTTCCTCTCCCAGCCAGCCGGGACTCTGCTTGAGAGTTTGAGCCTCTCCAGAACTTTGCTCCCTGCTCGGGTGTCCCTCTGGGGTCCCGGCAGCCCCCTGGCTGTCTCCGCTGCCCCTTCCTCTTCCTCTCCCGGGGCTGAGAAGCGATGGGAGAGATTCCTGCCCTGTCTGGAGTCTTGCCCGGTGTAAACTCTCCCCACCTGAGTTTGCAGGAGACCCCCTGGCTCACCTCCTGCAGACCCCAGGCACCAGTTCCCGAGCTGCGACACCAGGCGCACGAGGCAGCACGGTTAATGTTTCATCCGCTGCTCTCTTTGCTCTGCGTCCCAGATGCCTTCTCTCTCTCCCCCCCCACCCCACCAGCACACCAAGCACCCTTCCTTCTCTGAAGGCAAGAATTTCACTGGACCGGCCCCAGGGGGGGAGATGGGCAGTTTCCCCTCGGCCGGACAGGCGGAAATCAAGGGGGCTTTCTCCGCCGGTCCTCCGCCGAAGGGCCATGCAAGACGCAGCACGTCTCCCTCTGGCCCCCCGCCAGCCACAGGTTAAGGCCTGGAAGGGGAGAAGGTCAACGGCTTGGCGGCCGGCCACTGACCGGTGCCAGAAAGCAGCCGAGGATGGCCCGTTTCCTCCCCACGGACACTTGGAGGAGGAAGAGGAGGAGAAGGCACCTTCTGGACAGCGGCCCTGGGCTGTGTGGCTGCCAGAGGGCTCCCCTTGGGGCCTGGGACTCCCCTCCCCAACCCCCCACCCACCCACCTCTGATCACTCGACCCCTGGCCCTCAAGCACCCTTGACCTTCTGCCCTCCTGCTGGAAGGACCTTCTTGCTGGAAACACCCCCGTGGTGGGAATATGCCCAGGTGGGGTGG